AACAAATACAAAGTCTTAATTTGTGAAGGGCTTTTACATTTGAATTGTCCATGAAATTATACATGGGTATTATGATCTTATAAAAAACAAAATAACAAAACATATTTTAGTAATAAAATTAACATAATATTATTATCCCAGGTACCTATAATATGTTTTTGTAAAGACTTGTTTTCTGTTAAAATTTATGCACAAAACAAACCGTTACGAAAATGGTTGAATAGAAGGTATAATAATAATAGTGGTACTTAACCATATAAACCTTATATGTTTGGTATGTACAACTATAAGCATATAAACATTTTAGTCACGACTCATGATATTGATACTAACCAAAAATCCTGAAAAAACTTATTTGAATAGGTAGGTACACAAATATTAATAAAATGTGTTAAAAACATTTAATTATTATTGAAAAATATAAGCTATTTTCAATGAGTCGACTATATTAAATTTAACTACATTTTTTTTCTTCAGATTGTTATGATTTTTGCTTATTTTAGCAGAATTTAAACAATTTAATTACAATGATGAATGAATAAATAAAAAATATTTATAATTTATAACTTACTACCTACCTAACTAATTGTTTTGGGTATTATTTTATTTAAGGTCTATTAAAAAAATATATATAATATACATATATTTTAATAAATTCAGAAGGATATTATATTAACATATTTATACAATAATAATTCATGATATATAACATGTAAATGGAAATTAATAAAGATTAATACATAAATTTATGATTTAATGAATGTTATGCTTTTACCCGTCATGAAAAAAAAAATTTCAATTTATAATTTTAATTGACGTGTCAGATTATTAAATAATTCTTGTATGCTTGTAGCAAAATACTATATAATATGTATGAATATGATTTAAGAAAAATGATGATGTAAATATTAAAACGATAAAACATATTGTATTTAAAACATTCATATTATATTTTATCATTTGATATTCATGATGTTTATTTTAGTAACGATAATTAAAACAGGTTCATTATATTTTAGATTTATTATTATTCATTATTTTCCGATCACTAATTACTATTTAATTTTTATTGATTTTGTTGTTTTATAATATAAATTGTTTTATTTTATTAATAATAATATAAAATATCGTGTTCGATTGTCTAGAAAGTACTTATTATTAATTTTATGTTTTGTACGTTGGTAATTTTTTCGTAATGAGAATTTTCATTTTTCCATTTAAATGTTGTTCTACTTTGGCGTGAGAACTTCACCAAGCAATTTACTATATTTTAATACGTTCCATAGTAAATTGAAAATACTCTGAATTTTTTATTACAATTACAATAATTGAGCTTTGGAGCCCACGAGAAGCTAATTACCTACTGCAGTTTGAAAATGTCTACATAATGAAATCGCATTAAGGTAATGGTTATTTACTAACTAATTTCTTATGCTGTACACGGGATATTAATTTTGTGGTTGAAGAATGTTATTATTTTGTACAATATCTAGACAACTCTTGTGAAAATACACATGTGTGTTAAAATTCGTTTGAAATAATTTACTAATTTCGATACCCAATAATTAATACCAGTAATGCTTATTTCTACACACATTTAGGCACAATTTTTTTTTATAAACATTTAAAGATTGAATTTTGACAAAATTTATCAAATTTAAAATTTAATAATTATTTTGTACTTAAAAATGTATAAAATGTTCAACTTTTATATCTAAGGATTGGAAATTTAAAACAAGATTCCATGTAAGTAGTTAATTCTGCTACCAAAAAATCTAAAAAATACACAAGCACAGTTTATTTTTATAGTCATTTTAAGTTCAAATTTGGACGAAATTACATATTAAAAAACCTAGAATAACTTTTTTAGTTATTTTGTTGTGATTGTATAATATTATTCGTAGGTACTTGAAACTTCTAAAGTATACTATTATATATCTATGATAGTATCAGGGTTTGTTGTTGATGTATAACGCGTTATAAGTATCTATAATGGATATTGTGATATGATTAATTTGGAATTTATTGTAGGTACAATTTTTTTTAAATACCATAGATATGTATATATAATATGTCTTAAACCTAGACTGACATACCATCTCCATTCAGAATCGTTTTTCTTATATAATGACATTATATCATTGAATTCAAATTTAATACCATCCATTTATACAGTGACCCACTTGTAACCTACTGTACAGCAGAGCACCTTTTTGTAATTGAAATTACACTAAATGCTTGAATTGATTTAATTATGGTTGGGGGAGGCCCAAACATTGATAATAGCCCCCCCCCCTTGATGTTTTATCAAAACCGCCACTGATAATATTTACTAGCTAATAGGTCTAGGTATATTAATAAATATTTTTTAAATTTTCTATCCTTAGATATAAAAGTTGAACATTTTATACATTTTTATCTACAAAATAATTATTCAATTTTGAATTTGATACATTTTGTCAAAATTCGATCTTAAATGCTTATAAAAAAAATTTGTGCCTATGTATTTTTAATATTTTTCAACTGATATTGTAACAATATATCAGGAGCCTTATATTAAATTTTTACACTTTTTGGCCCAACCGATAAAACTTTATTGATAATTATACAAAAAAAAAACTAATATAATTGAAAACTGAAAATGTCCGTAAACAGCTCAAAAAGAGTCAAAATATTTTCAAAATTTTAAGGTGAATAGGAAATGCTAATATAAACATTCAGTGCAATTTCCATGTATCTACAGTTGTTCGCTTTTGAATCACAACAAAATAAGAAAATCGCTACATGAGAGATCAAGACCGAACAAGATACTGAAATTGAAAATTGAAGCATTATTTCGACTACTTATCGTGTACACAGATACAAAAAAAATGAAAAAAAATAAAAAAAAAACATACATCATTGTAAAATCAATACATTCATCGTTTCACTCAGAATCTAAAATAAATGTAAATATATTATAAATTATAGTATTTCGTCAGGAACGTTTTTTCCCGGTCAGCCCACATCGTGCCATAAAAAACTTCGTTTCAAAAATATACTAGTCATGTTCTAGGTACTACTATTCATCCACATATTATAATTGGAGAAAAAAAGATGTATCCACACTGCATGTAGAATGTAGATACATCGGTATATGATGCCTTGCAAATTTAATATATTCATCGCTACGCTAAGAATCGAAAAAAGTACCTAAGAACTTTATAAGATTAATTTCATCTTTGTAGTTTGTTATTGTTTAATTTTCATGGCAATTGGAAACTTTAACGCGTAATCGGTCAAAAAATACAATAAATTTTAGGCTTCCATCCTCAATGATGGCGTCATGGTAACGCTCTCCGTGTCACACAAAATATAAAATGACCCCCAGCCATCAGACATATAAGTGCCAAAATAATTTACTTTTTAGTAACCTCTGAGCGGAGATGTTGTATCATCCTAGCATTATTGTATAAAATATCATCAAATTTAGTAATAATGAAAAAATTAATAAAAATCAAAATTATCTCATGGCTATAAACAGCCTCAGTTTTCGGTAAACTTTTTTTTCTTTATAAAGGTAGAAAAACTTTTGGGAAATCTTCTATTAAAATACCTAATGTAAGATATGAAAAGAAAATAATTATGAATTTCTAACCGAAAAATCATTTACACATTTTAGGGATTTTGATGAATTATGATAAAATTTGAACTTTAAATGCATATAAAAAATAATCGTGCCAATGTATCTAATATTTTTGAACTGATATTAAAGCATTTTATGAGGAGCCTTGCATTCAATTATCAAACATTTTTACCAAGTAAAAAAGTTTTTATTGACAATAATTTAAAAAAAAATTTCAAGTTTATAAATAATTCAAAAAGTTTTGAAAATATTACCATATATGGAAAATGCTCATATAAATAATATTTGGTGAAAATTTCAAGTGTCTTCAGTCATTAGTTTTTTAGTTAGACCAAATAAGAATATAAAAAATTATTTCAAAAAATTGATGTTGCTTAAAAATTAACATTTTTGTTTCCTTTTTTTGGTGTGTTTTTCTCTAAGCTTTTAAAAGGTGATGAGAAATGTCTATGTTTACCTCTTAAAAGTACCAACTATATCAAATTTTCTATCAGAAACCACTCGAAGTTGAAAATCAAAGCACTATTTAGAATACTTACCTATCATGCATACATATAAGTACTTTAAGAATAAAAATATAAAATAATAATAAAAAATCACATCATTGTAAATACAATACATCCATCACTAATCTCGGAATCTAAAATTGTAAATTATATATATTATATTATATTATATTATAATGTATTTTAACTCAAAAATGTTTTTGGGCTAGATACACGATAAAATATTTGTGACTTTGGTTTTTGTTGTCATGGTTACTTATTATTAATTAGTTATTAATAAAATCATATTTATGTTTCTTAGATTTTCCTTGTAGAGTTGAAAACTATCGAGTAGCGTGGTATAGTTTTGTTATAGTTGTGCTATAATTTTGTTATATATATATTCATTTTTATTCATTCTGGTCTTGAAAGGTAAGATATAACTATATGATATTTTATAATCAAAATAGTGGAATTAGTACATTTAGTTAAAAATAGTACATTAATAATTATAATTTTAACTTCGTACTATACCTGACTATTAAATAATAATATTGTTGATATAATGATAATCTTATACAGACTTATCTGAAAGTTAAAAGTTGAATCTCTTGTTTATCTTAGTGTAATAAAGTAGTTATTTAAAGAAAATAAATATGCTGATATATGTGCCTATATTCACGGTGCTACATAATAAAAATTATCATTGTCTCTGCTTACCTATATGAAGGTCGCTTTAATTAAATAAAAGCTGTGTCAAGTCTTGTATCAATCCCTTGCTGTACATTTATTTGTTGTTAAATGTCGAAATATTTCGTTGTATATAATTAAAATAATTTTTTTGCTTTTCTAATTTTTAAATTTAATAAAATTTTTGTAATATTTCAGAAATGACGGGAAGACGAATTGTGGTAATGGCCAGACATGGTGAGAGTGAATGGTCTAAAAACAATGTGTTTTGTGGATGGTACGATTCACTTTTGTCTGATCGAGGTAATTAAAATTTATGCCTACTCAGTACTCATATAATTACAAATTATCATCCTAATAATATTAATTTATGACAGTAACTTTGAGATGGTTATAAAACATAAATATTTTAATTATTTTATCGTGTTAATAATTATAAATTCAAAAACTATAACTGCAAATTAATATCACCTAAAATTTTATAAATGTATAACATATTTATTTAATTTCAATAATTATTGACAAAACTAAAAATGTTCTATTAAATATTGTTGTAATATTTACCTGATATTTACAGTATGTATGTAGGTAATGCATACAAACAAAAATTAATTATTTACTTTAATATTATTAATTATTTTATCTAAACAGTACATATCTTACTAATTGCATACATTTCATACATTTATATAATTTATAACGTATAATATAATGTTATTTTTTTGGCGTATTAGGTATGAACGAAGCCCTCGAATGCGCAGAATTGTTGAAACAATCAAATTATACATTTGACAAAGCTTATACATCTCTGTTGACTAGAGCTCATCAGACTTTAAAGATAATCACTGAACACATTGGTCAGCCAAATCTACCAGTAGAAGAATCATGGAGGCTAAACGAAAGACATTACGGAGCTTTGACAGGATGTAATAAAGCTGAATTAGCTGAAGAATATGGTGAAAGCCAGGTATTATATTTATATGGTCACTTATATCTGTTATTAAAAATTATTAATAATTTTATTATAAAATCTTATATGACCGAATTGTATCTATAACACTCCGTGTCATTATAACAAAGAAGTGGATTTGATGGGTTCGTATATTTCTTGTGGGTATTAAAAAAATAACCGAGGAAATAGATCCGCTGTAGGTAGGTTATAGGTAAAATAGAATTATTTTAGTGTATAATCTCTCTATCTAGTCGTAAATATCATTGAGTACCTATACTCTGTCCAGCGAGAGAACGCATCGATTCTGCGCATTCCCCCGCATCACCTCGCAATCGAAACCGGTTCTCCAGCTATGGCAGGGGCCAGGGTGTTGCGTGGGAGAACCAGTTATGATCGGTGCATGGGGTATATTATCTCGCTGGACAGGCTATATAGGTCACTGTAATAATGGATGTATAATGTATATATCATATATTTCTTGTTATTAACACTTATAAGTCAAACCGATGTATCTTAGAATGGCGTGAATAGGATTGTGGTATAAATTCTTAAAATAAGTCTAAATATTTTGAAAATTTAATTATGTATAGAAAATAATAATATAAGTCTCTGCAATTAATATTTGTTGAATTACAACAAAATCACTAAAATTGTTAGAGGAAATATCGTTGTTTTTCATTTGTATATCTACTTCTTTGAAATTTTTAATTTTTAAACAGATGTTTTCAAAATAAAATTGTCACCAGGTTTACACTGTTCATAGTCAATATGTGCTTTTTATTTTCGAATGCTCTTTTTTCCTGTGCTATTCTGCAGTTTATGTTTGTTTTGCAGCGACCATTTTCTGTTATGTTTCTTCCTAAATATTATGTAAAATGTTGTACTTGCGGTATTTTGTTAATTATTTATGTTTATGTTGAGTCGAATGGGTTTAGTTTTACTAAGGCTCTAGTAGACACGGGTAAAGACAGCGGCCATTTTCTTTCCATAGCTGATAAATGATAATAGCTAGTCATGTATTTATTACATTTATTTTGTGAAATTGAATTTTGGTAATTAATGAATAAAGGTAGGAAAATATATATTTGAATGATTATTAACGATTTTTCATAGACGTACTTATTGTTTTGATAAATATTTAAATAATTTGTATTAATTCTGTATTAATTCCAATTGGAAAGAAAACGGCGGCTGTCTTTACCTGTTATTAAAGAGCCCTAGTTTTACTACAAACCATAATTTTTGTATACTGATTATTAAGTTGCATTCCATTTTAGTACTATACCTACCGCTATTAGGATTTGTAGGTTTTCTTCTTTTTCCGCGCAGAATACTATGTCGTCCGCGAATCTTATGGCTGTAATAGTTTGGCCCCCTATTCTAACACCTTCTTGTATTTCTGTTCTCACCTCTTTCATTGCTTCTTCAATGTATAAATAGAACACTATCTTGTATTACAGCTGTTTGGTTTTTGATTATGTTATAGATAACTCTCCTATCGTACTTCATTCCTTTAATAATTTTAAATAATTCATTCCATTATGGTCTATCAAAAAACTTTTCCTAGATCTACAAAGGCGAAGAAGGTTTCTTTGTTCCGTCTAATCCTTTTTTCTTAAATTGTCCTTATTGCTAAGGTCCTATTTTTTTTTCTTAATCCGAATTGGTCATTACTGAGGTTTGCATCTATAATTTCTTATTCACTCTAGTTAGTATTTTTTGATGCTTGCATGTCAAGATAGGTTTCTGTGTTCTTCGAAGACCACACTTCCCTTCTTCTTTTTAATTGCTATTATAAGGCCTTTGGTGAAATCTTCTTATATTTCCTCATATATATACATTTCGTTGCATATTTTTCCGATCTATGATTTTTTATCCATAAAATAATTTGTGTTATTGCACGTCATTTTGAAAAATGTAGCCCAAATGTGAATTGGAAACTTTCAAGTTATTTTTTTTTGAATTACAACGAAATAAAAAAATTTGATTTTGGCAAAAACTGATGTTGCGTGATATGTGATATTTCATGTTTTTGCTGCTTCTTTTATTTTAAGTTTTTTCAAATTATTAAAAAAATTAAGTGCATATATTCTACTTAATCCCTAATATACCAAAATGATTCAATTTGCTACCAACAGTTATCATTGCAGATAACTTATCAACTTCAAGATTGAAGAATTTTTACTGGTTCTAAACATAATGACAAAAACAAAAATTTAATAAAAACACACATTATTCTAAAACTTATACATTCAATGCTCCTCCCAGAATCTATATGTGTGGAGATATACTTACTAGGATGAGTACAACAATTATTTTTTTTAGATTACTCTTAAAACGATTGCTAATTAATTTATTTGTTATCTAGAGAATTTACAATCAATATTTATGTGTAAGATAAGATTATAATGTACCTATTATATTTTGTACACTATTATTCTTTATACAAATTATTTGTAATATTATTATATAGACCGATTCACCAAGCATGCTCGCTCCCTTTTTATTCTTCTATAATGTGGTTAGTCAAAATTGGATTTTTTGAAATTTTGAAATATACTTTATGATCATATTTTGAAATTCTTGAGATTTTTTTTACTACTTAAGGAGTCTCCCGGGGAGATACGAACTTCTGTTTTTCAAATGAGAACACCCTTTTTTAACTATAAATTATACAGTGGATACAGGATAATTTTTCTGAATATATTGACGTATCAGAATCAAAATTCGTACGTGTAGTTTTTTAGTTATTTATCTTGGTGTTCTAAGAATATAACGTCCATGGGTAATAGGTTTATAAGATATAGAGGCTATAGTGTTTTGAAAAGTTTAGTCATTAATATTAATCTATCAATATTAATAATTTGTAAAAATGGCCCATAAATAATAAGTAGGTTCTAGATCCAATTTGACATCTATTTTATATTTTTGTAAAACCATTTTTAAGAATTATTATTCTTTGTACAAATATTTACAACTAAGAAACTACACATTCAAACTTTGAAATAGGTACATCAAAAATTTTAAAAACAAAAATTATCCACTAAATAATTTATAGTAAAAAAGGGGGGGGGGGTCTCATTTGAAAAACTGAAGTTTGTATCGACACTCCTTAAGTAACACAAAAAATTCAAGAATTTGGATATATGGTCTGTCTTTGATTATATTTACAAATTCCAAATACCAAATTTTGAATAAATTCATTACGAAAGGATAAAATAGGGGTGAGCATGATTGGTGAATCACCATGTCTACGATTATTATTAATACAGCTATTCGTAAATTAAAAAAAATCTAATTTTATCGACGTATTGAATTTATTTGAATTTATTTTGAATTTTAAATAATAAATAATATAACGGTATATTTTGTTAGTTATAACAGATAGGTAGGTACTCATTTTAGAAATTCAAGTGTCTACAATAAATAAACTATTTGTACACTTTTTGTATTAATGATAAAAAACATTTCTATTTGAAAAAATAAATTTTTAAATAATTTTATGGTAAGTATATCATTTATGTGTTGGTCTTATAAAACAACCATTGTTATAGGTTATTGGAGGTATTTCACATTAAATTATTTGTTTTAGTATAAATTCAAAACAAATTTACACCTGCATGATTACACATACATTTGTATGTAATTAACACATAATTTTGTTATTTTTAGGTACAAATTTGGAGACGAAGTTTTGACGTTCTTCCACCTGTGATGGACAAGTCACATGCATATTATATGTCCATTTGGTGCCACCCAAAAATCGTGGCTCACTCATACACTTCAAGCGAAAAATTTCCTTCTACCGAATCACTTAAAGAGACGATGGAAAGAGTTATACCTTATTGGGATAATTTTATTGTGCCTCATATTAAACGAGGACAACGCGTTTTGATTGTTGCCCATGGTACGGTTTTGAGAAGTCTTATCAAGTATTTAGATGGTAAATATTATTTTTTGTTTTCATATTATGATAAAATATTAAATTCAATAATCATTACTGTTTAAATTTTTTAAAAACCAGGCGTATCAGATAATGACATTTGCTCAATAAACATCCCTTCGGGTATTCCATTCGTTTACGAATTTGATGATGACATGAATGTTGTGTCTTCAAAAAAATTTTTGGGTGATAAAAAACGAATAGAGGAAGGAATAGCAAGAGCTGCATCAATCGGTTCTCATTAAACTGCCAATTATGAAATCGACTTCAGCAAATGACTATTTTTAATCTGAAATTTTGTCAGATTTTTGCTATTTAATTATTACTTTTTATTTAATTTTATAAGTTAATTTTTGAATATATAATATTGATAAACTATTCTTTTTATAATAAAAATATATTATTAATAATTTAATGAAAAATGTTTGTTTGTGAGTTAAATGTATTGCAGAAAGGTAAAAGCATGATTGAAAATCAAAATATAGTTTTCTATAAATTAGGTATATGTATATAAAATAAATATTGTATATTGTATGTGGCTTAAAAATAATTACCTAATACTCCACGTATAATATGGGGGATCCCGGGGATCCATACAGCCACTTATTTTATGGCAGTAATTTTCCAACCCCCACTTATTTGTTTAAAATTACCCCACCATCCCTTTTAGATATTGAAATATTAATTGTTTACATAATCTGTGTCCCTTATTATGAACGATGTTGATTACATTTTTTGTACAAAAATATCTTTAAATAATCTTATTTTTTTTAAATTGATGTTGTTTCCTAAGATTGAAATATTTGACAACGAACCAAAGTCACTTGATCGCTTAATATATAATTTTGCAATATTTACAATATTATAATAGGATAACACGAAATACGATCACTTATCACTGACGTAGATAACCACTCAGATTAATACAGATCACTGTTGTAATGTACTGGAGCTCATGAAAACGCATAATCTAGGAATTAACTGGATTTGTGCCATCCCCCCACTTCTTTTGATCCACTTCGACAACTGCTAAATAATGCTAATAGTATTAAAATATTAGCATTTAAACTGCAACATTATACAAACGTTGGTAATAACTTATAAGTCATAAGTTATAACTGATAATCAACTGTCAATTGTTAAATATCAGAATATTATTTAATAAAATCGGATTTTCAAAATTCAAAACTAGTTGGGACGTTTCAAATTTATAATGATTAGAGTATTATCAAATTTAAAATGTACATCACAAGACACACCTAAGAAAAATATATTTGAAAATTAATTAGTAACGAAACCATAGCACGCGCTACTCGATATTTTTCTTCTACAAGGAAAATCTATGATCATATTATATAGGGTTGGTTTTGTTAATAAAATATAACCATCATGACATCAAAATCAGTTGAAAAACATCTTTACCCAGGTACCCAGCCCAGTAAACATATATAATATGTCATACAATTCCATACTACTATTTAATTTAAAATTAAAACAGAGTATAAAATAAACAACTATTACTATTATTGAATCAGTCTTTTGTACTTTTTTTACTGGGATATTTATACATTTAATAATAATTATAGCTTATTAAAATATTATTTAAACATTTTAATCACCTATTACTGACTATTACCCGAAAAATATAACTAGGTAATGGGTATTATACATTTATGTATCTATATCATTTATATAGAACAATACAATTATTATATGGATTAAGAAAACACATTCAGTATTTTGTAAGAGTTAAGACCGATCGACAGTAAATATCATGGTTACATTTACGTCGAGTTAATAGATATTTTACATTCTAGTAAAAACTTGGAATTATAAAAGTGTGTGAACAATAAGCTTTTGGGTAGTAGGTATATAGTTTAAAAATATCAGTATAATCTTGGTTTAAGACGTCATACTCAGTTGCTATAGAACACGATGTGCTTTTGGCCTTTTTATTTTTCCAAAACGCTTTGTGAAAATTGGAAAATTGCCAGAACGCGTTTCGATCGTTCGAAAACGTTTTAAACATAAAATTTAAATGTATTTTGGTGTTTGGCGAATATGTATTACTCGCTGTGCATTCTTCGCTGCTAATTTAGTAATCGAGACATCGAGTGTAACCATATTGGCATATTATTATATTATCATTATTGTACAACTGGGTACACGATTTAAAATCCAAAATCGACGAAGGTAATAATATTAGTTTGCAATTTACGATCAAAAATATGTTTTAATCGATAGAGGTCGACGCAATAGAACGTCAGAGCGATACGTTCGGTTTACATATTATTATATTATTAATAAATATGGCATTGAATGATTGGCCACACAACAGTTGTGGACTAAAAATAAAATCTATCAGAAACGGAAAACAAAAATAAAATAGTCCGTTCGACGAAAAGCGATGATTTATTATGAATTATAAAAAAACGATGATAATTATTATTATGGTCGACTGTCAGCCGCGCACTGTCGCCGTGGCTTCGAAGCGCCTAGGCAACACAACGATCGTCGGTCACGTGTCGCCGTGCCCGGTTGCTAGATGGCGCCGTCTGTTGTAAAGCTCGCCTCTTCGAGGTTATCAGGGACAGGGGAAAAAACAAATTAAAGCCGCTTCGCTTATCAGCAATAATAATATCGTAATACGATAGGACGACGCCGTGCTCGTGTAATATTGTAATCAACATTCAACCGCAATAATAATTATTTATTGCTATTATTACTGTTGTCGGCTTGACCGTTTTGTTCGGCGCGGCACCGAACACTATCACAATAACGACGACGATTGCTATATACGGCCAACTACGACAGTGTTGTACCTGCTCGTGTGTACCCATCAGAGTGTCGTGCGCCCTGTCGAACGTTTATCTACCGGTACCGAGGAGCGGTATAATACTGGTATCCGTTTGAATACCGAACGTCCGAACAAAATAATGCCACTATTATTAATTTAGTCGTCACAACTTTCTGTACCTCTATCGTTCGTGTCGCGTCGTTTTCGTCGTATAAATGTGTGTATCGCCGTCGTTCGGGGGACACGCACAGACACCATCATGGGGCAGACGGAGAGTCACAGATCAGGTGAGAGCCGACCACATGTCGTCATCGATAATACCATTTCATAACAATATTATAACACATCAATAATAACAGCAATATTATTATATTATTGTTACGAGACGACGCGCGATCTTTTGGTTATTCGTTTCTCGCGCCAGGTCGGAACACGTTGCAGCGGTCAATGTGATTTTTGTTATAGATATTTCTCCGACGATTGTCCGCTGCCGGTCTGGCGCGAAAACTCTTAGCGTATATTGTAAAATATTATTATCACACCCAAGTACCCAACGGAGGTTCGTCGACCGCGTGTCTTACGTACATAGGTGTAATTATGATATTGATCCTTGTTACGTTGCGTAGGTACCACGGTTATTATATTATTATTATTATGTCACCGGTCGTGCGATTTGCAAAAGATATGATTTTTGGCGAAATTCGAACGTGGGCCGCCGAGTAACCGTCGTCGTTGACCTCGACGTGATCTCATATTTTAGACAATTGTTTTAGTTGGTAAAATTGTTAGGTTTCAACAGATGTTGGCTCGCTTTCGGCTTTAATAGATAATGAATTAGGAAGCCTTAACGGCCGGGAGGATCGGCAACTTATTATGCAGCCGTCCCAAATGAAAAAAATATAAGACAATTGGTTTAGTTAGGTATATTATAAAGTTACATTACAAGTTTGACCACTTGGTCCAATACAATAATAATGATTAATTAGGTAGAATAAGACCCGTCGGTCTTTTATAATATTATAATAGTACACACATACCCTTGAGGTTATGTCGCCTTGAGGTGCCGGGATCCGTATAAATCAACTTAAATACAATAATACAATACAGTGTTGATCCCGCACACGCCCAAGAACGCCGCTAACCTCAACACGACGAACAAATCACAATTCACAATACAACTTACAGCTGCTACAGCGGACACACAACTTGACAAACCACGAAACTAAAGTCTTCTGCTGGTAATCAATGACCGCCCTATACTAGGGGAAAAACAATTTAATGATGGGCAATAAATGCGCTAACGATAGTTACCAGACAGAAGAAATCACAAAACACACACAACGAAAACGTGGTTTGACAGCAGCTACAGCAGGAACAAAACAAGACACATAGATGTTTTCACATCAACGAACGAAACGGAAAAGAAACAGGAGGCCGATTTTAACGGTAACACATTACATTTTTACATTACAACACGGAATAACAGTGTCACCTGTACAACAAAACAAAAGTATAACACAAAACAAGAACTTTAGGTGACACACAACTTTTAAACATGAGTGATAGAACGGCTTTTTTCAAAATACTGGAAAACAACAAAACATTGATAACGTGGTGGTCTCACACACGCACTGGGCGGTCAGCACACAACAGCTGACGCCACTGTCGACCGCGCGGCAGTGACGCGTGATAAGAACCACCACGGAGCACAGGAACATAACATAAAACAAACACAATTAATTTGAATCGCCATATTGGCGCGAACATACTCCCCCCTTGAAAGGACTTAGACCTTTCAAAGGTAGATATAACACACGGAATAAGCAATAGAATGCTTGTACAATACTTGTTCAATACTCGAATACATAATACACAATACACAATACAGAATACATAATACACAATACGAAATACATAATACATAATACAGAATACATAAGGTCAATGAGTGAAGAGTTGTTATGCTGCATCCTCTTCCTCTTGATTGCTGGGCAGCACTGCAATTTTTACTACTGGACGCTGGAATTCCCTCCCAGCCGAGTTAATGATAGTTACTACGCGAATGATGCCATCAGGTCCAGGATGAATTTTGGTGATCCTAACCATTTTCCATTGGAGGGGCGGTAGGTTGTTTCAGTTACACTTAGTGAATTTAATAACCGGTTCGAGATCAACTTAGTGCGAGCATTGTGGCAAAATCTTAGAATATATGCGGCAATTCGGTTTAATCTAGACCAAGAAGAATATCTTTCTTCAAATTGACATTCTGATGGCTGACTCACTACAAGAACTGGACGAACTATTCTTACTTCAGGTAAATCAGTATGGATGACATTATTAGACGGCCACAGGTCCTCAGCCTAGCTCAACCACTTGGGACCGTTCCACCAAAGTTCATTTGATAAGAGTGACTCAGCTGAGCATCCACGGGAAATTACATCTGCAGGATTGGTGGTCGTTGGTACATGACGCCATTGTGAGGGCTGGGTTAGATCCAATATTTGTGCTATCCTGTTGGAGACATAGGATTTGAGTGGTTTGTCACTATTGATCCAGGATATGACAATGGATGAATCAGACCATAAGATTACATTACTGGGGTTACAATGAATCTTGATACGTTTTAGTTCTCTCATAACCATGGTGACCAGTTCTGCTAAAAGAAGGGCTCCGCAAAGTTCCAATCGTGGAATTGTGCTGGGCTTCAGTGGAGCTACTCTGGACTTAGAACAGTATAGTTGACATTGCGATGTGGTAGTTAATCGAAAGTAAATACAAGCACCAAAAGCATTTTGTGATGCATCGCAGAAACCATGCAGTTGGACTGATGTGGTATTATCAAATGGAACGCGACGTGGTATTGATAACTGCTCCAAGAACTTGAGACTTTGATAGAAATTGGTCCACTTGGTTTGGAGTTCAATGGACAGTGGTGTATCCCAGTTCAACTTTGAAGACCATAACTGTTGCATAAACATTTTTCCTCGAATCAGGGCAGGTGTTAGGAATCCTACTGGATCATAAACACTGTTTATATTGGATAATAGTGTTCTTTTAGTCATGTGAAAAGGTCTTGACAAATCCTTAAAAATGAATTTGAAACAGTCATTACTTGGTTGCCAAGTGAGACCTAGTGTGCTAACAGTATCTTCTTCATTGATAGACAACAGATAAGTAGGATCTCGTTCCGGAACTGACATTTTCGACATAATTGATTTTGAGTTTGAGCACCACTTACGAAGGGGTAGGCCAGCCTTGTCAAGTTCATTAGATAAATTTTGAAAAAGTTCATAACACTCAGTTTCGTCTTGACCGCCACTTAGTAAGTCGTCAACATAAAAATCTTCTTGAATAACGCGCTGGACTGCATGATTTTTAACATTGTAACTTAGCTCAAGTAAACAACGAGTGGCAAGAAATGATGCAGCTCTGGTACCGTAAGTGACAGTTAGAAGCCTATAGTCTTTCAATGGTTCAGCAGGACTTTCTCTATAGCATATTCTCTGCAAATCACAATCTTCGGGAGAGATCCGTATCTGCCTGTACATTTTGGCTATGTCTGCAGTGAGAGCAATTTTGTGGATTCGAAATCTCAGAATTATAGAAATTAAATCAGGCTGCACAGTTGGTCCACATAGTAGAATGTCGTTGAGACTGTGCCCGGATTTAGATGTAGCAGAACCATCAAAGACTACACGCATTTTTGTAGTTAGACTGTTGGATTTGAACACTGAATGATGCGGAAGATAATATGTGGGGCAATCAGTATCTTGAGCTTCCTCCATGTGACCCAATTCAAGGTACTCTTTCATGAAATCCTTGTAATCTGAAGCAAGTGAAGGGTTTTTTAACAATTTGCGTTCTAGATTGTAGAAACGTTGCTGTGCCATGAATCTTGAGTCACCTAAAACTGATGGATCTCGAATAAACGGTAATCTTACTACAAAGCGACCACGATCATCACGAGAGACGTTATTTTTAAAATGATCTTCAGCCCTTGCCTCAGATGATAAGTTGTTCGAGCATGACTGGGCAATGAGAGCTATAGCTGACTGATTGCTATGACATAGAAGAAAGATTTTTGATAGTGGTTGCACATTATTGATTTGAGTTGACCCAGTAAAAACCCAACCAAGATTGGTGTTGTGAAGTGTTACAAGTGGACTAATCTTCATACTTTCACCAATTAGCAATTCATAGAATATCTCTGCACCAAGTAGAATATCAATTGAAGCTGGTTCATTGAAATGAGGGTCGGCTAAACAGCTACTAATAGTGTGTGGAATATGTAGTGGTTCCATGTCAATACGGTGAGTGGGCAAGCTGTTAGTAATCGAATCAATTACATGGAAGTTAATGAATGCTTCAAAATCATTGAGTCTTGAACACATTGTAGTACTTATCATTGTGCCTGTTTTGGCAGATACCGACCCGATACCTGCTATCGATAGTGAGCTTTTAACAACACTAATGTTTAATCTTGATGCGCACTCCTTTGTTATCAGACAGACTTGAGACCCAGAGTCTAAGATGGCACGACACTGAACTTGGTGGCCAGCTGCATTTGTTAAATTGATCAGTGCAGTAGCTAATACTATTTGCTTCATTGCAGTAGAATTGTTGTTACTATGTTCAACGTACGTTACAATAGATTGGTTTTGTGTAGATGGTGACTGTTCATTCGCTGAAGCAGGAGGGTTGAATGGGGCATCGCTATGCAACTTAGTGTTATGTCGTTTTCCACATCTATTGCAGCTACCACCACGACACTGACGGACTTGATGACCTGGATATAGGCAATTATAACACAACCTGTTTTTAAACACTAAATCTTGGCGTTCAGGCAAAGACATTTTAGAGAAACTTTCACACACTGATAACCGATGTTGCTCTGGACATGCTAAACATTGTTTTTCCTTAAATGGAAACTTGTCTGTTTGATTGGTTAATAGAACTCTTTTTTGCATTGGACGAATGCCAATAGACGACTGTTTGAGTTGAGTTGACTGGTTACTTACTTCACCGACCTCATATGCAGACACACGGTTGGCTAAGAATTTTTCCAGATCAGTAAATTTAGGTAGATCCTTAGATGATTGTAATAGTTGCCATTCTCCTACGGTGGTTGGATCTAGTCTACAGCACAATAATGTCACTAGCCATGCATCCCATTCATCAACTGGTTGTCCAAGTGCCTTCAGTGCGTTCACTTGAGATACAACATGGTGATGCAACTGTCTTAATTCACTGGCAGCAGGTTTGTGCACTTGCGGTGTTTGAAACAATGACCGTATATGAGACTGAATAATAAGAGATTTGTTTTCATATCTCTCTACAAGAACATTATAAGCTATACGATAGTTAGCATCGGTTGTTGGAATGGTACGCACCACCTCTGCTGCAGGACCAGACAAACAGGATTTTAAGAACTGCAAACGCTGTACATCAGACAATCCTTGATTGAGGTGGAACCTGGCATTGAAATCGTCAAGGAATGATGTCCAGTTTTGCAAATCTCCATCGAATCTAGGAGGTGGAATGGACGGCAGTTTCATTGAGTCACGAATAATTGGTTGTGATGTTGCACTTGAACTATTGGATGGTGCCTTGGTATGGCGCTCGACTAAGTCTAGAACGTCAGCCTTAAGTGAACAGAAGAAATCATCAACACTGACTCTGTCATCTAGCATTTCAGTGGTAACTGCTTCATGGTCCTCAATATCATCTTGAATCGACTCATATTTAGACATGTATTGCATTAGGTTGTCTAATCTAGTTTGAAGTTGATTCAGTGATTTTGTAGCAGGATCATACTTGTCGACAAATGCTTTAATTGAATCCATGGACTTCTTTGCAGAATCTCTCTTTTTGATCAACTTCACTAACTCAGCTGGGATTGGTCCGTCGTTGACTCCCATTTTGATTGAAGAACTTGATGGCTGAATGTTGAATGAATTTACAATACTAGGTAACCCACGGATGACAGGTTGAATACAATAATACAATGTCTAATGCACTATTTGCAAATTGACTACAGAAGACTAGAATGTGTACCTAATTAATTGGTAACATTTTACAGAATTGAATATAAAAAACAAAATAAAAGGAAATATACTCTCAACTACAACTTGACTAGTGAATGAATGCGATATAAATGTTTATTTTGAAACCTAACAATTTTACCAACTAAAACAATTGTCTAAAATATGAGATCACGTCGAGGTCACCAGATGTTGGCTCGCTTTCGGCTTTAATAGATAATGAATTAGGAAGCCTTAACGGCCGGGAGGATCGGCAACTTATTATGCAGCCGTCCCAAATGAAAAAAATATAAGACAATTGGTTTAGTTAGGTATATTATAAAGTTACATTACAAGTTTGACCACTTGGTCCAATACAATAATAATGATTAATTAGGTAGAATAAGACCCGTCGGTCTTTTATAATATTATAATAGTACACACATACCCTTGAGGTTATGTCGCCTTGAGGTGCCGGGATCCGTATAAATCAACTTAAATACAATAATACAATACAGTGTTGATCCCGCACACGCCCAAGAACGCCGCTAACCTCAACACGACGAACAAATCACAATTCACAATACAACTTACAGCTGCTACAGCGGACACACAACTTGACAAACCACGAAACTAAAGTCTTCTGCTGGTAATCAATGACCGCCCTATACTAGGGGAAAAACAATTTAATGATGGGCAATAAATGCGCTAACGATAGTTACCAGACAGAAGAAATCACAAAACACACACAACGAAAACGTGGTTTGACAGCAGCTACAGCAGGAACAAAACAAGACACATAGATGTTTTCACATCAACGAACGAAACGGAAAAGAAACAGGAGGCCGATTTTAACGGTAACACATTACATTTTTACATTACAACACGGAATAACAGTGTCACCTGTACAACAAAACAAAAGTATAACACAAAACAAGAACTTTAGGTGACACACAACTTTTAAACATGAGTGATAGAACGGCTTTTTTCAAAATACTGGAAAACAACAAAACATTGATAACGTGGTGGTCTCACACACGCACTGGGCGGTCAGCACACAACAGCTGACGCCACTGTCGACCGCGCGGCAGTGACGCGTGATAAGAACCACCACGGAGCACAGGAACATAACATAAAACAAACACAATTAATTTGAATCGCCATATTGGCGCGAACAGTCGTCACGACGTTACGTCTCAACTATTACTATAATGATTAATGGGCGTATTGTATTATATTATATACAATTTTATTATTATTGTTGTTGTTGTTGTTGTACGGCAGCGCGGTCTCGACGAAGCCGAGCAAGGAGCAAACCCATCACGGTGCCGGTGGGCCCCCGCACGGTTTAAAGTTCTTTGCCGAGGTGGCTGCTGTGCACCGTACTTACATTCTTATGAATTACGACTGTTACAGCAACAATATTATAACGATGACGATGATGAAAATAATGAATAATTATTACGATTTTTCCCTCGTGAGTTTTTTTAGGGGGCCACGTGCCCATGACTTGAAATAAATGTTCGTGTGTGTGTGTGTGTGTGTGTGTGTGCTAGCGCTCTCTGCCTGACTGACTCAGTTTGCTGTCTAGTTTCGCATTCTAATTATGGAATCACGCACGAGCTCGAATAACAAAAAAATAACGAGTTTAATACTTTGATAACAAAATAAATGAGTTTCCATAAGTTTTGAGAAAGACTAAAATTAAAAATACAATTATCGGAGGATCGATAAAAGTCTAGTTAATCGTATACTCGTGATGATTACGTGATGATTTTTACGATCTACGCTATTTCATTTAATAGGTATATATAAATATATAACATAGAGAACGTAATTTTGTTCATGTGTTTTTTGTGGGACATGATCATTAATAAAATTCAACAGCTCAAAGTTGTTATAGGAAGGGGTGAGAATGTTTTATAATAGTATTATAGTAACGGTTAACGATCGACCCGCGGCCGCTCGGTAGGTTTTACTTTAAGAATTTGTTTTCGCGTTTTGTTTCCAAAATATTTCTAATCACATTTTTAGGCTGCGAGCCTGTGAACATTAAATAAACAATCGTAATTCGTACGGTTCATACACATCCTGACAAATAGCTAATGCCTGAAGCCTGTGAGATATTTCAATAACGAGACGCTCTGATTGCCGCTTACATGACAAATTGTAATGTTGATAATAAAAAATGATGAATACACCCGGATGTTCCTAAAATACAATTTGCAATCGCTGACAGTAACATTTTGTGTGTTTATGTAATCTATCATAATATATTATCTATACATTTCGAGTTGTATGTAATTTATGAAACATTATATAGATTGTACATTATCCATTATCTATTTTTCATTATATTACAATTTACAATGTAATGTTTAAACTATCATTAGTTTATAATTGAATGCTATTTTTTGTTAGGTATATAATGAATATTGAACTTTGTGTTTCAACTTACAAAAGTAAAATATTCAAGATTTTTAACATAATAATTTTAAATTGTTAGGTACATATGAACTTAATAAGCTTATAGTTACCTATACTAATGTTTAGTAAGACGGGTGTCCTAAATAAAGCATTTCTCTGAAAGCCAATAAGATAATGAAATAGAAATTATTTTCATTTTCCGGAAATAAGAAAGAATTAGGATTTAGGAAAACGGTCTACGGTGCCTGTGTAATGTAAAAAGAGATTGGTACCCTTTGTAAAAAAATATATTTTTTTTAATATTAAGTTTGTGTTTATATACATTTATCATACAAACTTTTACATTTCTCAATCAATATACAAAAGTCAAAAGCCCATAACTATCCAACTTGAATAAATAGTATATGAATATTTTTTGTCATGCCTGCACCGAAAGTTTAGTTTTCGATGACGATTGAAGCGTCGGAAAGCAACCTTTTTCCGTCCAGCAGGTGGTAAAGTGGAAATCTCCAAAAGTGTTGGGTGGTAGAATGGAAATCCCCAAAAGTGCTGGGCGTGCATATTCCACGTATCCCATGCACAACCAGACACTGAAATCTATACCACGGTCTTTACAAAACCAACTTTTATAGTTACATCTTATATTCGTATTATAACCTCCTGCATGACGCGTAAACATATTTCTTTCATGGAATTATTTTCGTAGAATAATCTGGTTGTTGCATGGAACCCTGCATTACCTTTGCCATGATTAATGAACGCAGAGGCGTGACAAAAAATAGTATGACGTGTAGCTCGTGTGGGAAGGAAATTTCACTCTTGGGTGAATTCGTTGTCTGCGACTGAAATAGCTAACTTCTCGCACTTGCCACACAATATACTATCAACTTATTGGAAATAAACATAGGTACTTAGACAAAAGATAAAACAATAAAAATAATATAAAATTAGGTACATAGGATTTATTTTATTTAAAATAAAATGATACCTAACACTGTATGTAAGCAATTTCATTTACATGGCATTACGACTACTACACAGTACGGATACAACGTTATTTATTAGTACCATGAACTCTTGTACTTTACCAATAAAAAATTAAAAGATATTTATATTTTGTATTGAAAAAAAACACTGTGGATGGACGTAGGTCCCTAAATCCGTGGTCAGTTACAATTTTGTTGGCTGCTCCGATTAAGCCTCAATCTAACCATTTATTTTTACTATTTTAGTATCCGCATAGTACATAACCACTTATGATTTAAAAATATTACTGTTTTTTACTTTGGTTAGGTAAAGTTTATGGATTCTTACTGGTGGTTTCTAGGACTCATACCAAGTAAATATGTAATAAATGTCTCGTAGAAAAATTCAAAATTATTAAATAATATTATTTGATAAACCCTTCATTTTTGTACATTAGTAGTTACTTGATTTAAGTAATTATGTGTACCTATAGAGTATCTTTAATTTAATGCCTTATTTAATTAATCATATTAAGATCGAATTATTTACGTATAGTATATTTACACAGAATATTACCTTTTCGTCAAAAATAATAGTTTATTATAATTAATAATAGTAAAATGTATATTGACAAAAAAAATGTCAATTCTCTATGTTTCATAATATAAGGTTGTTTTAATGAGTCTTGAAATAAAAAAAAAGGTGCTCTGCTGTACAGTAGCTCACAAGTGGGTCACTTTATAATAGATGGTATTAAATTTGAATTCAATGATATAATATCATTGAATAAGAAAAACGATTCTGAGCCATATCTATATCGTATTACAAAAAAATTGACCTATAATAAATTCCAAATTAATCATAATATCACAATATCCATTAGGTACTTATAACGCGTTATAAATCAACAACAAACCATGATACTATCATAGATATATAATAGTGTACTCAAGAAGATTCAAGTACCCACAAATAATATTATACAATCACAACAAAATAACTAAAATAGTTATTGTAGGTTTTTTTTAATGTAATTTCGTCCGAATTTGAACTTAAAATGACTATAAAAATAAACTGTGTTTCTGTAATTTTAAAGATTTTTTGGTAACAGAATTAACTAATTACGTGGAATCTTGTTTTAAATTTTCAATCCTTAGATATAAAAGTTGAACATTTTATAAATTTTTAACCACAAAATAGTTATTCAATTTTAAAATTGATACATTATGTCAAAATTCGATCTTTAAATGCTTAAAAAAAAAAATTGTGTAGGTATATGTATTTTTAATATTTTTCAACTGATATTGTAACAATACATCAGGAGCCTTGTATTAAATTTTTACACTTTTTGGCCCAACAGATAACTTTATTGATATTTATAGAAAAAAAAAAATTTAAAAAATTTAAAACTGTAAATGTTCGTAAACAGCTCAAAAAGAGTCAAAATATTTTCAAAATTGTATGGTGTATAGGAAATGCTAATATAAACATTCATTGAAATTTTC